CTACTACTATTTTCTCTTATCTAATGGTTTATTGATTTCTCAAGCTGTTCTTATGCAAGTAATTTACAATATAGCAAATATGCTAACGGGAAACAGCATGAAAAGGTACAAAAATACATATGTACAATAACAAAAATAAGCAATGTTTGTACAGATGTTACTTTTATTGAGATCTCCAGACAGACTTTTTTTACACTGTGGTCTCGCTGTCAAAGTTTACAAACAACTCAGCAAATTTACAACTTTGCCGTCATGTTTTTTTCATCATATTTATTTATTTTTGATGTGACTTCACATAACCATGACAACAAAAGCTCTGCTAGCATCCTGTAGAAGCTGTCTTCTTTATTACACCAGCACTACAGTCATCATTTACTTTCTCTGTAGCTGGGATTTTAGATGGCTGGTGTTAGAAATAAATATGCTAATCATTCTGACTGAAATAATATTGAATAAGTGTTGGCTTCTTATGCAGGTACAGGGTGCTTTAAATGATTATAAACCTTAAATCAAAACTGTGTTAACCAATCGTACATGTATGTTAGAAATTCTTCATCAAAAACTATATTTGTTCTTTAGAAAATGCCTGTTTTTATTTACTGAGAATAAGCAGTTTCATTTGTTTTTACTGCAAGTCTTTCTACACTAAAGAGTTACCATTTTGCTTCTATGTATGACACAGTAGAAGTAATGATGTATTGGAAATAAGCCAGGTGGAAGAATTAGCTGCTGTGGAAACAGTTTTTGGGTGCATATGTCCAGTTGAGTGTTGTTGTTTTTTTCCCCAGCAGGACCATATCTATTCAATCAAACAAATTAAATGAAAAAGAAAAAAGGATGGGCACTTAAGAAAGGGAAATACAATATAAACAAATAGATTGTGATCTGGTTTAATGCAAATTATATAAAAAACTAATAAAGGACAAATGATTTTAAAGTAAACAGAATTATTTTTTGTCCTTCTTGACCCTCAGAAGGGTAAGATGATGAGATGTCATATGGACAGCTATATAGCAGTATTTATAAAGTTTTCTTCCCTTTAAATTGTGTTTTAATTGCATCAAAATGATGTAGTACATAAATCTGGTGTCCCACAAAGATCCTCTGTTGAACAACACCTTTCCCCCAAATGATTGGTTACTTTACCTTCATTGGTTTACATTTAGCTGACTATGGCATCTTATTTTTCAGGGAAAAAAATCATTAAACCAACATAACAAAATGAACCATGAGCTCTTACAATATTTTCTAAAAAAAACAAACAAAAAAAAAACAAAACAAAAGGGTTAGGGTTAGGGTTGGCATTCTCCAAAATTCACAATTTCTCCTTACTGTGGGGTAAAACAAGTCAGCTTAGGAGGCCCACATACATGATCAAAAATGTCTGCAGTATTTAACAGAAATCCTATTATATACATGATTAAAAGTGTAACTATGGAAAAATAATGCAAGTGGAAATTATTTTGTGCCAAACAAAAACACTTTCTCTTCTAGAGAGTAGCAACATGTCTAGTCTAAAATTTCCAAGAAAAAGTATGATAAAATACAATTTTTTTCTTTTTTTTTTCTGAAAATGGTATGACATAAAAACTTGGGGTATACACAAAATCGTCAGAATTCATCCTTTGGCAACACAAAATGTTTAATTTTACCTTTCTGGAATGTTTGAAGAAAAAATAATAAACGTGTGAAGATCAATACTTATTATATTATGTAAAACTTTGGTCATAATCAGAAATAGTTCTGCTGATGGAGCACACATGTTGAAAATGTTTAACTCTGTGTGGATTAAAAATATTCAATCCAAATTTAACAGAAGCATGGCTAGTCTGGACAATCATGAACAGGAGCAAGGTGCTGAACAAACAGCATTGTTTTTCTTAACCAAAAGCAGCGCAGGAATAATCTTTTCTATATTCTCTTTTAAGTAAGAAAGAAAGAACAGTAAAGTAAGGCAACACCATAATCACAGAAACTGATCTTTCTTCCAGCTCGTGGAGCAAGGAGAAGACATCCGTATCAGATCTGACCTGATGGCCACCTCGTAGCTTCTACAAAACATAAAAAAACACTCCGCAGGGTGGCCAGAGGTAAAGCACACACAAGCGCACACACACACACACACACACACACACACACACTCACAAACACACGCACACACAGTTTTACACATTTATGGAAGCAAAACAAAAGGGATACATCCTTAGAATGTTAATCTGGTGACTAGGCTATTTGGTGGCTCTGACACGATGCAGTACAGACCCATAACCTCTAAGTTTAGTCATGAAAACTACATAATTGTAGCATACTAAATGGCCAAGTGTTTCATCAATATGACCAAAACTTAACTTCTTCATACTGGTCAATCTGACACCGTGGTGCCAATATGAACTTGAGCCAATATTCTTAACTTATCCTGTGGTATATCACAAGTCATCAAGGCTGCAGGTGACACAGGACTTCCCATCTATCCTCTTTGAATAAAGTTTATCTCTCCTGGCTGGCTCGCCATTGATGTAACGTGATGGAAGTGGTTACTTTTACTGAATGATCATTAAGACTGATAATAGGGATGTCCTGTTCCGACATCGTTATCGGAAGTAATTCAATATCAGACATCGGCCCACTGTTTTGATTTGGGTCCAAAGACAGTGTATCGGATTATATTGGACAGCATCAAAAATCTCCAATATAAGCAGTCCGTTAAGGTTCACATTTTTGCAACCAGTTGTTAACTCATTCAGTGCTCACTCATTTGCATGTTTTTACTGTGTGGGCATCGGAACGTGCACCCCCACCATGAGAACAACTACCTCAGCTCTAAAGCCGATCTTCATCCGCATACGTCACACGTCACATGATCAGGAAGCAGAAATTAATGTGTTAGGAGATCGTTTTGTGCCGCTGCTGTACAAAAAGTGAGGCGCGAACCGGAAAAGCTTCTGTCGATCACAATTCAACAACGGATTATGAAAGAACGGATAAAGCTCGAAACGTGCGGATTCTTCCTGATGTAAGAGGTGAGTCTCTGCTTTGTTTTGGTTGTTTTGGCGATGACATCATACTAGTGCGCAACGTTCTGTGACTCTTAAAAATACAGCAAAAACGGTGAGAAACACTGGCAGTGAAGGGCTTTACCGATCAGGAAACGGCTGGCAGCGAATGAGTTAAGATACAATTATCATGTTTTCATACTTACTGTTATTGGCTCTTGTTCTCTAAATGAGTAATACAACTTGATGAAGCCTTTCATACATTCCACACTACGAAATAGGTAAAAGTATGTATGATTTGTTCTGAATTCATATCAGATTGATATCAGTCAACACTGAAGGCTGCAATATTGGTATCGTGTCGGAAATGAAAAAGTTGTATCGGGACATCCCTAAATGATAATTCATATTTATATGGAATTATTGATCATTCAGTAAAAGTAACCAATTCAATCACATTACATAAACACCCAAAGTTTTGAGTTAATTCAGCTTAAATTTAAGTCAATAATATCTGACATCCTGTTGCCTCATTAGAACATGATATCTGGCTCACACTGGAGCAGTTCACAGCTGAGTGTGAAGCAACTGGAATGAAAATCAGCTCCTCTACTGTAAATCTGAGACCATGGCCTTGAGTCAGAATAGCGTAGAATGCACAAAGTTACAGGTTTTAAGGGTTTTAAGTTTGGTAGACTTTAAGCTTTAGTTTAAGAAGTTTAAAAAAAAAGACAAAGTTTGACAAGAAGATCTAGACAAGTTTAGAGTTTGTAAATTTGGGACGAGTCTGTTTATTAATTTATGTGAAGTTTTGCCCTATTATTTAGATTTCTCCCTGATAACATCAATTTGTTTTTCTTTGTTGTAAAAAGCATTTACAAAGTTTCCCTTGCAAGTGTAGCAACTATATAGCAACAATAATCAAATACTGGAGAAAGAAATGGTTAAAAGCAATACATCAAATGCTCTTAACTGATTTCTGCAGCTGTGATGTGTGTTGTTTGCTTAGACAGACTTAGTTTAAAACTACATCACATGAGCTTTTCAATTTGTTTGCTGAGCTGTGCAATCGATTCAAGTTTCAGCTGCTTCCTCCTTTGTGTGCCTTCATATACACCCATACTCACTCACTGATGCACACACATCCTCACTCATACAACTACACACTTATGTGACATATGCACTTTTCCACTGGACTTTTTACTTTTTGTATTTTACACTGAATGAAATTTTACAGATTATTGACGACAAAATGAAGATCAAGACCCGCAAGAAGCACACCGGTGCACAGCATGAGGGTTGGTGTCCATGTGGGAACCCTGTTTGCCCGCTAACGAGGTCTACGGGAAAGTGACAGAATGTATGTATGTGTGTCGCATGTTTGTTGTATAGATTTCTTGTCACAAGAGGTTCAGGGAGTGACAAATTGAGCTGATAAACACCATAGAAGGATCTGTCCCAGCTGTCCAGTGTTTCATTCTCCATCCATGCTACCAGCTACAAAACACCAAATTCCATTGTTTGTGTGTGCATGTCCATGCTTGCCTTCTGAGCTTCTCTGCCCACCTGTCTCAGATCCAGAAGAACTGGAGGGAGTGAGTCTGAACTGGGTTTAGCAACGAGCGGAAACCCCCCCAAAGACAGAGGATTGGAAATGAAGTCACTGTGATCCAGAATCCCAGAGTATCTCTGTATTTGCCTTTCATATCGTGCCCTTCAGATGCACACACCACAGCACAGTCCAGCTCCTTCCCTTCTCCCATCATGACTCGTGTGTGTGTGTGTGTGTGTGTGTGTGTGTGTGTGTGTGTGTGTGTGTGTGTGTGTGTGTGTGTGTGTGTGTGTGTGTGTGTGTGTGTGTTCAGCAGAGACAGCTAATCTGTGTGGCCCCAAAAATACTCCTAACAGAGGCTGCCATTGATGCACTGTCCTCTGCTACAAAAATGGAATATATATATATATATATATTTTTATTTTATTTTATTTAATTTATATATATATATATATATATATGTGTGTGTGTGTGTGTGTGTGTGTGTGTGTTGTTTCACATTTACGAGATGTAGTGTAGAAATGGTGACGAAACTAACACACACAGAGTCACTGGGATGTGTTGGTGGAGTGGACTTGAACGTTGGCTGCTGCTTTTGGGTGCAGCAGAGTCCAGGGAGTTGATTGAACCGTGGGCCAACAGAGTCTGAGCATAAACAGAGAGACAGAAGCAAATGTTAGCAAGAAAAAGAATAATTTAGAGCATCTCAAAAATAGACTATTGCTAAAATTTTCCATAAAGTAAAACTCATTCATTAAATGGTGACATTACACAAAGTGAAATAAGTCAAGTGCCATATGTTTTTGACTCCCGAGTAAAGAGAGGAGCGGAGCTGTCAACTGATCACCACCTGGTGGTGAGTTGGATCAGATGGCAGGGGAAGATGCTGCGTAGACCTGGCAGACCCAAACGCATAGTGAGGGTCTTCTGGGAACACCTGGTAGAAGTACCTGTAAAGACGGTCTTCAACTCCCACCTCCAGCAGAGCTTTGACCGCGTCCCGAGAGCAGTGGGGGACATTGACTCCGAGTGGGCCTTGTTCCACTCTGCGATTGTTGAGGGGGATGTTTCTAGCTGTGGTCGCAATGTGGCCGGTGCCAGTCGTGGTGGCAACCCCCGTACTCGTTGGTGAACACCAGAGGTTCGGGGAGCCGTCAGGCTGAAGAAGGAGGCCTACAGGGCGTGGCTGGTCTGTGGGTCTCTGGAGGCAGCAGACAGGTACCGGATAGCCAAGCGGGGTGCAGTTTATTTAATACTTAGTGGAAACGCCTTTCTAGAAGCCTTGATTTCAGCTTCTAGACACCTCTTGTATGGAGAGACCAGTCATCTGCATTGCTCTGGAGTGATTCTGGCCCATTCTTCCACACAGATGCTCTTTAAACCTTGAAGGTTCCTTGGGCCTCTTTTATGAACTTTGATCTTCAGTTCTCTCCACAGATTTCTATGGGATTTAGGTCAGGTGATTGACCGGGCCATTCAAGCAACTTGATTTTCTTTCTTTGAAACCAATTCATGTTTCCTTGGCCTCATGTTTGGGATCATTGTCTTGCTGAAATTTCCACCCTCTTTTCATTTTCAACTTTCTTATAGATGGCAGCAGGTTTTTATCCAGAATGTCCCTGTTATTAATAAGGTCTGTAGAAAGCTTCTTCCCTGTCTGGATCCAGGCAAGGAAGATTGGTAACACCGTCCCTGACACACTTCCAAAAAGGACTGTTTTTCCAGTAGGTTGGTTTGAAATTAGTTTATATTTTAAAAAAGTACAGAAAACAGTAAAAACAAGACAATATGACCACCTGAAGCGAACCCTCATGGTCATCAGTCAAAAGGTGTCATGTTACAAGGATGTTTAGGACCAAAATATGCAGATACCCAGGAGGACACGAGGCAGGAGTAGAAATAAAGAAAAAATCCTTTTATTTGAGGATGAACAAAAATAAATCCAAAGGCAGCGAGCCTAAAGTCCAAAACTCCAAAGCAGGAGAAACAAAGCTCACCAAGAGCACGAACAAACGCTGACAGAATACAAATAATGGACCGACAAGACACTGAGACAAGACAGGGCTTAAATACACAGGGAGGATGAGATGGAGATGAGCTGCAGGTGTGTGGGGTGTGGGAGGAGGACCAGGTGAAGGCAATGACTAATCAGGGGAGAAACTAACTTGACCTAAGAATAAAACCTAATACAAAAGAGCAGGAAACATAACTACAATACAAAGGGAGGGGGGAGAAACATAATAAACACTGATGGGAAAAAAACATACTAAATCATGAAAGGCTGTAACTAAAGGAAATGACTTGAGAAACCTAGAGGGCTGGAGATCTAGGGGCAAATGGGGAAAACCAGAAGACGCATGAGGAAGACGCAGACATGACACGTGAGGGCGCTAGGACACAGAAGGGAATCTAGAGAGGATGGAGAAACACCAGGAGGCACATGAAGGAAGGGGCAGACGCAGACCGTGACAAAAGGATCCTTTGAGACATTACTGCATAGTGCATTTACTATATTTACTATGTGAAGCGCCTTGAGATGACTCTTGTCGTGATTTGGCGCTATACAGATAAACTTGAATTGAATTTAATAGAATTTCTGTTGGATCAGTGCATGGAAATGTGTCAAGATCCATGTGACTCACGAATCTTATCCTAACTGAACAAGATGTGAAAATCTTGGGTGCTGTTGCATCTAGTCTGATTGTGCAAGAACAAACACTCCAGCATACTTTGTGTGATGATCTAAGCCATGTCCCTGATGAAAAAATAAATAGAGAAATTATCCAACATGCCTGTACATTTGTCCATTCATCCTGACTTCAAATCTGCTCTTTAACTGTATTATTTCCTGCTACTTCAGCTATTAACTTTATTTTTTCTCTGTAAGTATTTTTCTCCCCAGAAGAAGCTACAATGATGTTCTACTGAGCTGTGGTGACCTCATGGAGGGGGCCATCGTCTAGCACACTGCTACTAACCACTTAAACATTCTCCCTCTTCTGATAACTTTTTGTTTCCTTGACGTTGGATGTGCTACTACTAGTTTACCCATTTAACAATAGATTCACTAGGATAAATACAATAAAGTTTATCTCTCGCCAAATAGAAAATTTACCAAGCAATCACAGTGTAACCATGGACACATTGCTTGGTGTGTGTGTTTGTGTGTGTGTGTGTGTGTGTGTGTGTGTGTGTGTGTGTGTGTGTGTGTGCGCTTTGTCTTCTCGATCTCCAGTGAGTCGTGGAGGATGGCTGCTTATACTGAGCCAGGATCCTCTGGAGGTTTCTTCCTGTTAAAAGGGAGTGTTCCTCTCCACTCTCGCTGCATGCTTGCTTAGTATGAGGATTGCTGTAAAGTCACTGACACTGGTCCGTGACTTGATGCAATTTGCTGGGTTCCTTACATAGGAAACATGATTTCTGATTGGCTTAATGAACTGACCTGATTTGGAATGTTTATTATGTGAAGTGCCTTGAGATGACTTGTCGTGATTTGGCGCTATATAAATAAAATTTAATTGAATTAATGTGAAGTCTGCCAGTACACCTTGCTGAAAAGACACCCCACACCATGATGCTTCTACCCCCAAACTTAACTGTTGTTATGGTGTTCCAGGGGTGGCGAACATTTCTTCTCCTATGCTGTGTAGAATGACAGCCAAAATACCATAGTATAGTTTCCCAGTAATCCACAGGCTCCTCCAAATGCTGTTTCACAATCTTTAACTGAGCCTCAACATGTGTTTGTTCAGCAATAGAATCATGCGTGGTGAGAGTGCATGGATGCCATGGCAGGTAAGTGCATTGCTTGTAGTTTGAAACAACAGTACCTGCTGATGCAAGAACTTGCTGACATTCTTCCCGAATGGCCCTTTGCCCTTGGAGAACTCTCCAGATTATCCTTTGGACTTCTCGACAGGAATCTTATGTGGAGCACCTAATTGTGGCCTGTTTATGGTGAACTGATGCCCTTTCCATTTGCGCATAATGGCACCCACACTGTTCAAATTCAGCATTCTGGACATGCACCTGTAACCATTCCCATCTAAATGCGTTTCAACGAAAAGATTACGAAAATCTTGGGAGAGTTCTTTGCTTTGACCCATCATGGAGTCTTTTCTGTTTGTCCTGTGTAATGAAAAGGCTGTATAGGCCATCAATTAGTACTAAATCAGCTCATTGTACTGATATGAGGCAGGGTTTCTCTCGCAATACTGACAGATGATCTCCTGGCTTTTTATGCCATTTTTCACGTTGTTGTCTATGTTTTTAATATGCTTTCCCTGTGTATTTTCACCTTATTACACATTACTGAATTTATAGACTTAAATGTTTAAATATCTTTCTTTTAATAAAATAATTGAATTGATATTGACATGTGGTGGACATTTTGTGTCAATAACTCACTTAGAAATACCCCAACTGATGAAAATGCTGTGTCAAATACTTATTCTCTATGAAAAACATTACATGAATATGTCCTTCATTCTCTTCTTGTGTCTGCGCCAAATAACCTCAATGAACAAAGCAAAACGCAGAACATCACCTGAGGAAATAACACCAAAGCAGCATTAGATTTTTTAATTTATTCCCAAATTTTATTGATGTAAATATTAAACTGATGACTTGGAAATATCTTACTACCTAATGTACTTTGTTGTCATCCATTTCAGGAAGTGAAATTCATGCACTAAATAGATTCAGTTCAGATAGAGTGAGATAATTCAAATCTTTATTTCTTGTTATGTACAATTATGGCTTACATATATGAAAATCCCAAATACCCATAAAATAATGTTTCCTGAACCTCTAAGTGGTCTTTCAGTCTGGGTCTCAGTCTAGTTGAGTTACAGATTCTAACTTTTCCAGTTTCGCTTGTTTGTATAATTGGGTGTTTTTAGTAGCATTTCTATTTCTCATAATGTAGTAAAAACACATACCGGTATATATAATTAAAATTCCTAAAAAATGACAGTAGAACAGGCACAAATATGATCTAGGACTTAAACTTACTTTTAACACCAGAGCAGGCGTGACTCTGAGAATAATCAAGAACACTAACTTTTTCCAGTTGGATGACTGAAGGAAGATGGGAAGATAAAAGATCATGACGAGGAATGAATGATCTGATGAAGAGGTGAGTGGACCTTCTTTACGTGGGAAGTCCCCCTGGCACGTCAAGAAGGGGATGGCTGCAGACTCGCAGATTCACGCCTGCAGCAGCGAATCTGGTGTGATCTCCAGCATGAATCACAACTTTCTTGTTTCTCGCTGCCCCGACGCGCCTAAACATCCGCCCCTTTAGCTCCCCATCGGCTAATGACCGCTTCAACAGACCTCGCTGCTTAGTGATGGTAACGCATGCGGTGTTTGGACAGTCACTCGTCTCAGAAACATTGAATGAACTGACAGAATTTTTTTGAAAATATCGGTAAGATTTTAGAGTGTTTCTGTTACTTTAAGGCATGTTGTTTATGACTGTTTACAGAGTAGTGAGAACACGGACCATTTTCCCAGCTGCTGCCAGGTGCCTCTTGTTCATCTGACAACTTTCATAAACTACTGTTAAGGCAAAAAAAATATTCTGTCTGGTTCTTTCAGTGCTGCAAAATTGTTACATAAATGTAAAAAAATATGGCTTACCTTGACTTTTGTTAAGTTTCTGATGCCACCGGGCAACAGCAGAGATCAAATACTATGAAAAATGTTCACGACACGTATGCCGTAGTTTTCAGGAAGTTTTTTTTCTTTAAAAGTTAAGAGGCTGACGTATTTTCCAAATACTACATCAGTTCAAGCAAGGCAATTCCTTCAAATTATTTTGTTTTAGTAAAAGAAGAAGAAGAAGAAAAGATATTTTCTATGGCACCTCTGAAGATAAAATCACGAGGTGCTTCACCAAACAAAAAATGTCAAATATAAAAAAAAATTGAAAATGATTAAAAATATATTCAAAATTAGCTAAAATAGACAATTTTGATTAAAAATGTAAAAAAAAAAAAAGGACAGAGAGTGAATAGGAAAGAGGGAAATAAGTGGATCCTGAGGAAGGTGGAATACCGTATTTTCCGGAGTATAAGTTGCTCCGGAGTATAAGTCGCACCAGCCATAAAATGTATGATGAAGAAGAAAAATACATATATAAGTCGCACTGGACTATATGTCGCATTTTGGGGGAAAATTTTATTATTTTTCTTACAAAATCTGAGACCAAGCATTTCACATTGCAAGACAAGTACCGGTAACAAAAACAGAATAAACAATGCGGGCGCAGCAGCGTGCCACGGTCTCCAGCAGAGGATGGTGGTGTTTCAAACACTCCCAGCTGACGGGGAGAGTGCCTGCAGCACCTCGCCACAGGCTGCAGCAGGTGATGGCGGTGTTTCAAACACTCCCAGTGGGTCAGAGGAGCTGAAACCTGGACCGAAGCCGGCCCGCAGCAGTGCGCAACAGTCTCCAGCAGGTGATGGTGGGGCAGGGGAGCTCATTCCTGGTCCGGAGCCGGCCCGCAGCAGCGCGATATACATAATTTGGTATATAAGTCGCAGGACCAGCCAGACTATGAAAAAAAGTGTGACTTATAGTCCGGAAAATACGGTATATAAGGAGAGCAGAGCAAGGAGAGGGTGATGAAGGTCACAACAAAAAAACAGCTTGAACAGGTGAGTTTTCAGCTGCTTTTAAAAGGAGACCACTGAGTCCACTGATCTCAGGCTCAGGGGGAGAGAGTTCCAGAGTCTGGGGGCCATAGCAGCAAATGATCTGTCACCTTTGGTCTTTAGCCTGGTGCGCTGCACAACCAGTAGGCTTTGATCACTGGACCTCAGGGACCTGCTGGCAGTGTAGGGACTAAGTAGATCACCAATGTATGATGGTGCCTGTCCATGTAAGGCCCTGTAGAACAGAACCAGGATCTTGAAATGAACCCTGAAGTTGACTGGCAGCCAATGAAGCTGGAGGAGAAGCGGGGTGATGTGGGTGTGTTTGGAGGACTTGGTCAGAATCCGAGCACAGGCGTTCTGAACCACCTGTAGACGTTAGCTGAGCACTGTGCATTGTTGTGTTATATTTGGTCTACGAGGAAATCATGCAATCATTGCTTGAAATGCAAGTTGTGATTAAATGCGTACATTTTAATGCATAATTTTTCCTAATTAATTACTTATAATTAACGCGTTAAAGTCCCAGCCCTAGTTTATTTGTATTGTACAACAATACAAATAGTTTCTTTAAACTGCTTTGCCGACAGAATGTACATAATCATTTTTTTGTAGAACAAACTAATTTTAATTATTTGTTAAATGCAAAAGATTGTTTAGTTTTTAGTCTTTTATCTATCTTTTAAATTAGATGATGAATAAGCCAAAAGTTAAATCTTCATGGTCATGGGGAAGCATCTTAAACCGTATTTCATTTGCACATTTTTGAATTCTTCTGAAAAGAGACTTGCTGGCAGTAACAAAAGTCTCAAAAATTACACTAATCACACTGAAGCACTCTTTTCGTTATTCAGCCATTATCCTTGGTTTCTGTCCCGTGTTGTTGTTGGAATTCCCTCCAGCAGTTTTGGAACAAGCTTGGATAAAACACACCAAAATGTGAAGCTCGACTGGCAGTAGTGAGTCCACATTTGCACTGCACCTCTTTTGGCGCATTCACGTCTGGCTCGGCCCGGTCTAACCCAGTTAGGTTAATTGTGTTCACATCTGGTTAAACTGCACATTTTCGGTAGCCTGGCCTGCCATACTCGTCCTCTGTTCTACACAGAGAACTAGTCTGGTTACTCACAGGCAGAGAGGCGGGACTAGCCAGCTCAAAAATAACCAATCAGTGATTGCAGAGATTTGTGTTTGACTTTGGTGCTAAAGCTGCATCCTTCATAATTTCATCAGAAAACTTCTAGTAAAAATATTTTTCTGCCAAGTTTGAATTGAATGGCAGATTCTTGAATAATGTCAGAAATACACTCTTATGAAGCCTGATTAACCTACTGTAAAACTTTACAATATAATGTTTGTAGTCACATCTACTCACCTCTTCACACTCAAAGTCATCAGAGGGAATGCACTTTTGACCTCCATCCTGAAAAACAATTCACAGTGAGACAAGGTGGCCAGAGAGGTTTTGCTTGTCACACGCTGACCCCTACTTCACAATGGAAGCATCAGTGGCAAATTAGAATCCATTATAGTCTATGTATGGGGTCAGTTTAAACCAGCCACGACGTGGAAGTCTTCAGGCTCATCCCAGAAACAGCTCGCCGCGCAGCTGAAGATAAGATTGAGTTCTATTTTTACAGCGTCCCTTCAGAGACAGTTAACATAGGACTAGACAGGAAATCACATACGGTTTCAGTTTAAAACTTCCAGTCACTTTCAAAATAAAAGACTATTGCAGTGATGTAATTTCATATCTATGTGGATTATGTCAATACAATTGACCCAAGGGCTTATTTACTCCCGGTGTCATTCGAGAAGTTCAACGGTCAGTTTTTCATGGCTTTAATCCTGGCAGTGGAGAGGAACAACATCAAACAGCGATATCAAATGTAATCTCCTTTGTTTTTTTTTTGGTTTAATGTTGGATGGCATAAACAAATCATGACCTTTGAAGTCGAGGGGTTTTGTGATCTTGCAAGTCCAGCAAAGAGCACAGCAGAGTAGTTGTTCCGCAGCTGAGATTCTCCCCGATGTCTACCGCCACGCGGCGAAGCTCGTGAGTAAACCATTTTGCTGCTGTTCCGTGCTTCCAGTGTGATGTAGGGGTCATTCCTGTTTTCAGTTGAAAACATTCTTCATTTTTCATAGCTGTAATGTTAAGGTAGCGCAACTCGTGTTGCGAAGGACCACAGTCACCAATTCTTGTCATGTGTCTTGCCCATGTATGTCTGATCTCTGAATTGTGTGTACTGAAACTCAATTTCATTTCTCTGTATGTCTTGCACATGTGGTGGAATTGACAATAAAACTGACCTTGGAAGTGGACTCAAACATCAATAATAATATTTGATTAAATAAACAGCGTATAACGTGGGTATTTCAAATGGAGAAGTGTAATGTAATTTTTTTAAATTAATCAAAAATGTTAAATAAATGGCAGGAAAAGAGTAACTGACCACCTACCCCCACACACTCACACATTCTCATCTTGCATTCGTTGTGAGGATCGTCATTGACTTCCATTCATTTTAGTGACTGGATTGTGCCTAACCCTAACCATAACTCTAACCCTGACCAGACTATTCCTAATCCTAACTATATCTAAAACTTAACTTGCACCATACCTCTAAAAGTAATGAGTAACATTGTACCCAAAGTGAGGACCAACAAAATGTCCTCCCTTCGTGTCCTCAGCTTGCAGGTAAAAAGCTTGATATTGGTCCTCACTGTTTCATCAACTCTTTGACAAAGAGGCTATTACCTCTTGAATGTATCATCATTGGGCCTCACTTTTATGTATAGACAAACACACACACACACACACACACACACACACACACACACACACACACACGCACGCACACACACACACACACACACATGCTCGCACACGCGCACACACACACAGTTATTTGTGGAGATCATTAAACCATGCAGAAGAAACATTCTATCAGCTGCTGCGCCCCCGTCGGACACCAGACCTCCTGCTCATCTCCTTCCTGGCAACTGGCTGCACAGGAAGATGATAGCTTTGAAAAGAGGGGGTGGTGATTTGATCAAATCTGAAATGCACAGAGCAGCTTGAGTGAGGTAATACACTAGTAGTTGCAACATGCCTACTTTATTTTTTGCAATGCATCTTATCAACTGCCTGTTTCAATCTTTACTTTCAGTCATCTGTGCTGAGAGACCACAGAGGTTTCACATTTTCTGCAAACACTGACATTCCAGCTATTTAGAAATATTCGCACAACGCTGACACAAAGTAGTTTGAATCCTAATCTGCTGAGAAGCTTCAGCATAAGTCCATGTTGGCATGGTGTGCTGAGATGTAAACTGGTGTCTAACTCAGCCTGCTGCCGGCTTCAGGTCAATGCTGCATGCCTGCATCTGTCCGTATCACAAATGTAACGTCACGAAATGGCCTGATTTTGAGATCCCACAGGTCAAGATCTACAGCCAGGTCAACTTAACCTGGCTATGACACAACCTACAATATTTCCCCCTCACAGGAGACTTGAAGTCTACACATAGTCCCTTTAAATCAGAGCCTGCTTCCTCACACTAGCTGGAATCAGAGGCTGACAGAGATACTAAAAGATAAACAATAACATTCTCTCTCCTCCAAGGTCCTTCACAGAGAAACTCTTTTAAACGAACTCCTTTATTCCCAGAAGAAAGAAGATTTTATAATTATATACAATGAAATGTTCATTGATCTGTTTAATGATATATGCTTAGCATGTTTACTGGATACGGTCATCACCATTTGCACACTCAAACAAAAACAAAGTAAGATTAAGTTAACGCATAACATTTAGTTAACCTTTAGCCCAGATTCATAGTCTCCATATGAAAGAGGGTGTGTCTCTGAGATGCTTGGTAACATCTCTCAAACTTGCCAGCCCCTGATTGGATGGCCAATTCATAATATCGATTCCTTAAAACAAGATGGCTTTGAGTAATTTGTCAGTTCTAGAGCGACCATCTTTAGCACCTCTTTAACCAACAAGGAGTTTGACATGTCGTCAAACTCTTTTTAAACCTTTATCGCACCTGCGAAGCTGAGAATAACAAGATAGTACCTGCAGTACAAAGCTGACGCAAACTCCTTCAGAGTTCCTTTTAAGATGCTCCGTTTCATCTATTGTTGTGACCCGGAGACATCCCAGGACTGATTTGGTTGCATCGAGGTTTCTCTATGAACCAAGTGCAGTGGGGTCGTCGGCTCCTTGACATCTCGGATCCAAACGGGGGTCTTCAGAACGGGTGAAGTAGAACACAGCGAGATAGCGTCTGTATGTGGTTTTGATAAGAACAACTTCATAGCTTGTTTGCAAACCAAATTCTTTCATGTCCAGAACTCAGCTCTGAGAAACGGAAATTCTGACTTCATCACAATATATTCACACATAAATTCCAGACACCATCCTTTTAGTTTGCATCCACTCACAGTAAATAATGGTTTAAACATTCTGTCAAGTCTTAATTGTTTGTAAAATAAATTCTTAACTTTTATAAACCTGACTGTTTCTTGAATCAAAACGAAGAGGGTACGATCTCTTAATGAATAAAAGAATCCCAGAATCTTATGTCTAAAACAAATAATGACCAGGCAAGGTGATATTCTATAATTAAAATAGAGTATTACAGCTTATTGGTTTCAGGTAGGGTCAATAATATAAATAGCTCTTAAGCAATTTACTTAACCAAACATACTATTTATCTAACATTACACAAACCAATTTAATTTAGGTAAAAATCATTTGTCAAAAAGAAATATGTATCAAGAGTGTGTAACACAAATGACAGAGAAAGTCTGTTTCATCAACTCTTTGACGAAGAGGCTATTACCTCTTGAATGTATCATCATCATGTATGTAAAGTTCTGATGTTTACTTTTACCCGTCCTGTTGCCTCAATGCCTGCAGCTTTGCAGTTGTCTTCAAACAACCCACCTGTCAAGCTTGGTCATGCCAGGTGAAAGACAACCACGATCCAGTCATACTGTACGTGGAGAAATCTGATGGCAACAAACACATACTGCATTCCAAGAATGAACAGAAAGGCAATATCTGATGAAGAGGAAAACAAATCTAATCGAAGTTTTGAGTTATAAGGTTCAGTTAAACCTCCAAATTGTGAACAACCACAAGTGAACACTGAGATGAAATAACAAACACACACAAACCCACAATCAGCTCCGGCATGCTCCCAGCATCTCCAAAAATGTTTTACAAACAATGAAAAATAAGCAAATGGATCAAAAGGCAAGTAATACAATATTCTGTTGCTCTAGAATTAAAATCTATTCAGTGAGACGGTTTGCCTTAAAAGGCTGAGGATGTTCAGATTTCCTGAGGTTAGGCTTTAGATTTTCAGCTGTGAAAATAGGTTGCTATGAGGAATAATGAACCTTTTTCTGATTGCTCTTTTGGTATATTACCTAAGCCAGATATTCAGAGCATTTCGTGGACAGAACAAATGCTGCAGGCAGTGCAGTAAAAAAATAAATTTAAAAGGCTGACTGTGTTTGTGTAACTGGATTTGTTCTTTCATTTTTTCCCTATACCTGCTATGATTGTTTAAGGACAAAAGAAATGATTTTGTGATTGTTTTGTGTTGTTTTTCATTACAGGAACAGCATATCCTAGACTGTCTCTAAAGGAAAAATGTTTATGTTGTACTGTACTGCCCTGTACTGCACTGTACTTTACTTTACTATACTATACTATACTATACTGTGCTATACTGTGCTATACTATACTGCACTATACCATATTTCTATAGGCTATACTATGCTATGTTATCTTATACTATACCAAACCATACCATGCTATGCTACACTATGCTATCTTATACTATACTATGATATGCCATACTATTATAGGTTATACTATACTATAATATGCTATGTTATACTATACCAGTGGGGGTGGCCCACGGGGCTCTCGGGGAAAAGTGACCCCTGTTCTACAAGCACTTTTACATAAAATATAGAAAATTATTGGAAAACAAAAACCCATACGCTTTTTTGGCATGGTTCAAGGTTATGTTCTATAATTATGGTGACATATGTACTCACTGGCTGAATGGAATCAAATTAAAGAATGCATAACTTCCAGGCATCATCTTATTTTTGGGATTCGGTACTTTTTTCTTACCAGTCAGTACATATTAGTCATGTTCATTTTCTAAAAGCAAAAAGTGGTTTCAGATAAACCTCAAGTTTTATATGTTGAATGACAGAAAAAGAAAAAAATAGCTAAGAAAATGTTATGAAAAACAAGGGCAGAAGCAATATAAGGGTATAACTTAGGCTAGCATAATAAATGGGCATGTCATGTTCAGACAGGTTTTGCTAGACGTTTCACTGTAGAGGGGGTGGGGGGCAAGGCTCTGTGGCATTTACAATGGCATTCA